CCCCCCCCCCTGGCCCCCCCCCCCCCGGGAGCTCAGGCCCTGAGGAGAATCCAGGGCAGGACTGCAGGGCGCATGTCCCGGGGTGGGGCAGGAAGGCCAGCCATGTGGCCCCGCCGGGTGCCCACAAGCCCGTCCCACAGGTGCACCCACCAGGGCTATCATGCTGGAGCCGTGCTCCCTCCTGGGGGAACGTCTGTCTCCTCCTCCAGTCTTGGGAGGGGGCAGCTGCAGAACCCACCCCATCCCAATGCCCATGCAGAAGTGGCAAGCTCTGCCAACCCGCACCCAACATGCCAGCCGTGCCAGCTCTCACTGCCCAGAAACCCTCAGACCCCTGGGCAGCCCACGTGGGGGCAAGCGTGGGGCGGTTTCCTGCCTCCTGCGTCCCCTGGGCCACGGGTCAGCTGGCGTCCAGCCTTCCCCTCACACAGGTCTCGCCTCCCCAGAGCTGCGACATCTCAGCACCCGCTGGCAGATTCCAGAGCCAGCACGGGGGTCCGAGGGTCTGGGCTCCAGGTGCCAGTCTGTATGAGCCTGGTTCTGCATGCACACGCCAGCCCATGCCCACAGCATCTGCTCGTGGGGGCATGGCAGGTCTGCCAACCTCGCTCTCAGGCTCCAGGGCGGGCTCCAGGGCCCACATGACCCCTTCTCCCCAGCCCAGAGCCTGTCGCAACCACGGGTCACTCACCAAGTCCAGCCAGCGCGACAGGACGTGCACTCTGGCCCTGGCGTGGCTGGATCCACTTCAGAATCAGCTCATCAGGGAAAGCACATGCCAGGCTTGTGGCCGGACTGCCTGGGGTCTTGGGCAGAGTTGCCATCTTTCTTGCACGGAGGCTCCATCCGCGACCATGACCCCTCCTCCTCCTCACTTGCGCCTCCAGCTTCCCTCAGCCGTGTGTGAGGCCCTTCAGGGTCAAGTCCGGCTCGCCGTTCATCAGGTTCCTCCCTGGGCATCTGGGTTATTCAGCGTCTGGCCAGCGGCACCGGTTTCTGTAGTGTTGTGAGGGCTCGACTCACACCCAGCAGGGCCAGACTCAAGTGCACACGGCGTGATAGGCTTCTGTGTGTGCTGTACCTGCATGAGCACCCACTCATCAGCGCTGACACTTCTCACCCCAGACGCTGTCTCCGTGCCCTGCCTAGTCAAACTCCTCCCCGGGGCACCCTCACGACTTAAGTCACCATAGGTCACCCCCCACTGTTCTGGCATTTCCTCCAAGTGGGCCACGTAGGCCGTGTTTTCCGTGTCTGGCCTTTCTGAGACGCGGCGGCCATGGCGTGGGGCAGGCGTGTGTCCTCGGTCACTAAGAACGGCACCCATAGTGCCTGCCAGAGCTGGCCTCATGGCTGTCCTGGGAAGGCCGCCTCACTCCGCCTAGCACTGCCACACGCGAAGGTGCTCGTTCCTGTGCGAGTCTGGGTGGACACGCTCTCGACTCACTGGCGGTGTGCCCAAGCATGGCATCACGAGGTCTTGGGCAAGGCTGATCTGGCTTTGGTAGAAACTGCCACACGGTTTCCACAGTGGAGGTGATGTGTGAGGGTCTCGGAGGCGTCAGACTGCGTGCTGCGGCCACACTGGTGGGCGTGCAGTGCTGTCCAGCTCCAGTCTCCCTGAGGATGCTTGTATGTGTACGTCACCCACTCGGATGGCCTTCTCTGTGAGGTGCCCTGGTCAGTCTTTTTCCCATTTTCAAGTCTGGTAGTCCGTCTGCAGGTAGTTTATCTGTAGCCGCTTTTAATACATTTATTTGTTAGACTTGCATCCCAGGAATGTTCTCTCCCAGCCTGTGATCTGCCTGTCATCTCCTGCGTGATGCCTCCCAAGAGCCCCAGGGTTCTAGGAAGTCCAGCGTGTCCATGTTCCCTCCTGGGGCGAGTGCTGTTGGCATCCCGTCTAAAATAATGTCGCTCCCCCAAGTCCCAAGGTGCTCTGTCTCCTTCCAGAAGCCTCGTGGTTTCGACTGTCACATGTTGGCCCGTGACACATCTGAATCCTCTGTGTGATGTGCAAACAGAAGATGGACTCATTCTTGCCAAACACAACCAGTCCAGGGGCCGGGTAGACGGGGCACATGGCACCTGCTCCAAAGATTAAATCTCCACAAGCCCAACTCCTGGATGGCCCTGCTGTAGTCCCAAGACCAGTTTCGCTGAGCAGCTGCCCACTCGGTGCAAGACCCCACGGCGAGGCTCACCAGCAGCCTCACCAGGCAGAGCGGGCCAGGCCCCCAGGAGGTCACGAGTGCCCGAGGGCGTCCTTCCAACACGACCAAAGCAGGACTCTTCAGATAAAACTCCCATCTGCTCTTTGCTTCTTGGACACACTGAAGTCCACCTTGTCTGTGTGGAGGTCCCGAGCTGCAATTCCTGCTTCCTGAAGAGAGCGTTACATAGAGATTCACCACGATTTCTTCAACCCCGATGGTGTGAGGGCCTGGGCCGTTCTCTTTCTTGTGGCGTCCAGTTGCTCTGGCTCTGTTTTCGGGATACCGTCCCTCCTCCCACCGAAGTGCTCTGGCATCTTTGTCCGAACTCTGGACGACCCAGGTGGCTCCGGGGAGCTGTGGACCGGTCTCGCGTCAACACCACCGGGTCTTAATTACTGTGGTTTTGAAGTAAGAGTTGAAATACGAAACTGTGGCCTCTCCAACTTTTTTGTTTCTTCAGAATTGAATTTGGCTATTCTGTGTCTTTGGATTTTCATGTAAGTTTTAGGATCATCTTGTCAGCTTCTGCAGAAGGCCCTGATGGGTCTGCTTCAGATCGGCATCAAGTTTCCTGGTTATATGGGGGGAACTGACGTCTTGCAGCCATCTCCACAGCCCAGGGCGTGTCACCTGGGAAGGCACGTGTGTGCTCCATCTCCAGTGTTGCAATAGCTCCAAAATCGCAACAGCATCAGGATCGCCTGAGCCAAAAGCAGGTGTCCCATCCTACATGGGAACAGTAGATCAAGTGGGAACTGGGGTGCCTTCGGCCTGGCTTCATCACAAGCCCACAGGGTGGATCAGCTTCCCATGTGGAGGCCGTTTGTCTCCAAGGGTGCATCCATTTCTGCTTGTAATTCTGTGATTTTTGTTCTAGAATTTTCAGACTTTGCTATTGCAAGGCAAGCGTGGAGAAAAAGAACAAGCTGAGAAAAGGCAGAGAAAAGAAAGTTTAATTCATTAGAGGGAAAGGAACCAATGTCCGGCCCTAAAGAAGAACCAGCCGCTTGTTCTTTTGGCGTGTCCCTTTTACACGCCCTAGCTGGGGCTGGTGGTCACGCAGCACACGTCGTCCTGAGGAAGCAGGCGTTGGTGCCCACGTAGTTCTGAGTGTGGCCTTGGGGAAACAGGCTGGTGCTGGTGGTCACGCAGCCTGGAGATGTGGCCTTGAGATGCGCTCCTCGAGAAAGCAGACGTCAGCAGTAAAAAGAAGATGTCGTGGCCGGGCTTGGTAGTTCAGTCCATCATCCCAGCACTTTGGGAGGCTGAGGCGAGTGGATGGCCTGAGCCCGCGTGTTCGAGACCCACCCGGGCAACTTAGCCAGACCTTGTCTCTACAATAAATAAAAAACTAGCCGGGTGTAGTAGCGCTTGCCTGTTGTTCCAGCTACTTGGAAGGCTGAGGCAGAAGGATCACCAGAGCCCAGCAGAGCAAGGCTGCAGTGGCCGGGAGTGTGCCACTACCCTCCAGTCTGGGCGACAGAGTGAGACTCCAACTCAAAAAAATAAAAAAGAAGACGTCACTTAAGCAAGCGAGGAAGGAGTGGGGAGGGGTGATTGGGGGTCGTAGCCCCCTCCCAGTTGCTGACTTCATTTCAGTGAGCATTTGCGAGGCGTATCTCTTTCTCTTGCCATGCTCTTTTCTCATGCTTTAGATGTCTTTCTGCATAGATTTCGGACGACCAATTTCTAGGCTAAGCAATGCGCTGAACATTGCAGCCAGTGTGGTCACACATGCATGGATTCCGTGGTGACTGACTGCTGCTTTACAATGACTCCAAAATACGGTGGCTTACCACAGCAGAAGCCCACTATCCCACGGTTTCTGCGGGGCAGGAACCCAGAGGGCCCCGGCGGGTGCGGTGGACACTCCTGGAGCTGTCCTGAGTCACCGAGGCTGCCTCATCAGAAGGCTTCACCGGGCCTGGGACCCCCACACCGATGGCAGCCTGAGCAAGGCCTCTGTGCCTCCCATGTGAACTCTTCACAGGGCTGCTTGAGTGTCCTCACGACGTGGGGGCTGGCTTCCTCCAGCGTGGAGACTGCTAGAGTCATGATGGCTTCATGCCGCATACCCCGTGGCCGCCGCATCCCGTTGGTCACGCACCATCCTGAGCCGCGTGAGGGAGCCCAGAGCACAGTGCCACAGGTGGGGCCGCGGGGCGCTGGAGACTGCCGACCACACTGTCTGCTACCACACTGACCGCTGTGTGAGCTCATTTGATGCTGTTGATCTGGTCCTGCCACCGCTGTGGCCTCGCTCTGCTTCCAATACACCGGCGGCGGCTGCTAGCCCCTCCAGGCACATGTCTCAGTGTCCCCAGCCTTTAAGATGGTCTTCGACCTCTGCTTTTTGACCTGGACTTCTTTGACGTGTGCATGGGCATTGTTAATCAGTGATGGACTCTCGGCGTGATGCCTTGGGTACAGTCCCCACCCGCTCGGCCTCCTTCCCT